GAGTAATTTATTGGTTATTAAATAAATATTAAGATCTTTTGTAGCTTCGCTCATTAATATATATATATATATATATATATATTTATACCAAAAATATTAATCATATATATATATATATATATATATATATATATATATATATATATATATATATATATATATATTGGCATTGAGCCAGCCATAACTTTATCCATATTTTTAGAATAAAGGTGACGAACGAGCACACAATTCACCTGATATTAAGTGGATGCTGTGGCCCAAAGACATCTACATTTATCCTCGATTTGTAATCAAAATGCAGATACGTTGCCAGCCCTGAGGACTACGATGGAACGCCTCGTTTCCTGTAAAAAGGGAATCCGGTTCTCTACACTCACCATACGAAACACAGTGGCATAAAGCTCCTATTTTATGCTGGTATTCTATGAGATCGTGGTCCTTCGCCGGTCGAGTCGTACCCATTCGTGCTACAACCATAATATAGCCGCAGCATGACTCTACCACGTCTAAAAATATAGCTCAAAAAGTGACAACCTACAAGTAAGAAAGTTTCTCGAATGGCAACATCGTACCGGCAAGTATAGTGTTAGAGACGCAGGAAGTGTGATGGATGCGCGTGGCTCTAGTTCAGTTAATGACGATGACGACGATGATGATGAGATCATAAATAGATTTACTCCAGAAAACTTTAGTAATTTCATGCTTAAAGTGTATCAATTTAAAACAAAGTAATGACCAACCTTATTATTAAAACCATAATGATTTCTTATTTTTACGTGAACACATTATAATACGGTAGTACCCACACAATTAATTGCTTAAAAAATCAGAGTAATTTTAAAACATACTTACATTACTAGAAATTATAGTCGAAATTTAAATTCCACATGTCAAAATAAATACGAAGATGTTTTTTCATGCCCAAAACTAATATTGGTTCTGTATATATTTTTTATATATGATTGCTTAGATGCCGGTGAATAATGAAATAAACGATACACGCGACTCGTAGGTCAGTTACACACTGTGACTTATCAATTAGAATTACACAGGCTCAGTACTTAGTTGATTACATGACCTAATGACGTTAGCGCACAGTTATTAATTTATAATTTTATATTATAATAAAATATACACGGGGTAACGCCAGAATACGTGTTGAGATAGGTACGAAGTATATCATTTTTGTTAATATATGATGATTTTATAGATTCTAATTTAACCAACTTGTGTTTTACATATACATATAATTTAACAAAATGTGTTTTGAGTCAATCGATGCACATAACTGCTCATAACGATCAGAATCATATCGATCTGAACTTATATGGACCGTTGTATGTCTTCAAAGGAAATGCCTTCTTTGTATTTTCTAGTATTTTTCTATATTTTTTAAAACAAACGAACACACAGTTCACCTGGTGGTAAGTGGATGCTGTGGTCCATAGACATCTACATTTATCCTCGATTAAGATTCAAAATGCAGATGCGCTGTCAGCCCTGAGGACGAAGATGGAATGCCTCGTTTTAAGTAAAAAGGGTCTCCGGTTCTCTACACTCACCAACGTGTTGTTGTGTGTTTTATTAAAACAGCAGTATTAAGTTGCTATTTTACGTTGATATTCTATGAACTGCGTGGTAATTCTGACACCGATTTAATAAAGTTAAAAGAGTAAAATTTACAACCTAAGTATATACGTCCCACTGCTGGGCACAGCCTCCTCTTATTTCTGAGAGGGATTTAGGGCAAGGAATTGTCCGCCGCGCTGCCACAGTGCGTGTTGGTGAACTTCACATATCTTCGAAATATTTTTACTGACTTAATTATAATAAAAAATGATTTAAAAAATGAAACTTATAACAAAATAATTATGTCTCGTAAATCTATTTTAAATATCCTGAAAAAGTATAATTATAGATTTACCGACGTGGGGATCTGTTATGGGACTGATAAGGAAAGGAATTTTTCAATTTTATTAAAAAAATAATGAAAGAAAAATATAGCATGCAAGAAGATTTTGTGACCTAAATTGAAAAAGAAATACTTCGGTCGTTTGAATGGCAAGTTTGGGGCCAAGCACTAGCCGTAAGTACGCAAGCAATCCTCATTCAATCTCCGCTGACACCAATGAAATTGTTAATTACATTTAACTCTATTTTTCTTCATCAAACCCTTGTGGAAATATCGATGATAGTTTTATTTACAAACCGTTGTGGTTTATTGATGCTATTTTACTTATATTTTTGTAATCAACTTGTAAATGATAAATAAATTAGAAAAGTACCACATGTTTAGCAGTGAACGAAAACATCAAGAGAAAACCTGTATATCTGATTATACTTTTTGTAACTAAATGCATATCTTCTTCAACTTTCTGTAATTAATTATTGATTTGAGAACTTTATAATGTAATAAGTTTAAGTACACCTTATGTAGTTGTTTTTTTTTATGATGAATTAACGGAGCGACATATTCATATTGTGAATAAGCTCATTAATAAAGAATTAAAAAATAAACATTTTTCGAAGACGTGAAGCCCACCACCCATGTATTAGAGCAGCGCGATGGACTGATCACTTTATTAACTCTTTGAGAGGAGCTTTGTGCCCAGCTGCAGTAAATATATAGGCTGTCAAACTTTTAACTTCAGGTAATGCGGTCTAGTAGTGTAGTAGCAATATTATCGTAAGGCCTGCATAATATGTGTCATTGTCGAAATTAGGCACCCTCTCATTTCTAAAAGGACTGTACGGATGTACTAAATCGGTACTAAGAGCTTACGATTAACTAACATTTATTAGTTTAATAAAAGTAAAAAAGTAAAGTTGCAGTCTATATACACCCTACTGCTGGGCACGGGCCTCCTTTCTCTTCGGAGAGGGTTTTAGGGCGAGGACGTGTACACCGCGTTGTCCCAATGCGTGTCGGCAGACTTCACATGTCTTAGAAATATCTTTCTTTACCATTTATTTCTCAGACATGCAGGTTTCCACACAATGTTTTCCTTCACCGCCGAGCACGTGGTAAATTAGCACTTAAAATTGCAATTAACAATTTGGTACCGGCGGGGATAGAATACGACTTGGTCGCGTACTGCGAAATTTACAGCGAACGCTAAGTACTGAGTTATAACGACTCGCCTGAGCTACCACGTGTCTTAGTTTAATATTTGTGTAAAACGTATATCTGATTACTATGTGTATGTAGTTACACATAGTGATTAGTTCCACTTAATTTTATTCAGTATACTACTACTTTTGAATTATAGAATTTTGAAACCATCAAAAATATAAAAGTTATATTATTCAGAATATTAAAATATAAAAGTTATAATTTAGTAGTCTAAACAATATGTAAATATATACATGTATTTCTAACAAAATCTTTAAACCATTTCGCCTTACTTTTGTATAGTCATCGAAGCCGATCTCAAACCATACGTACAAAATAAATAGAAAAAGGTAAAGAATGATCGTGACATGAGACGGCACTTGGAAGAAAAATAAACCTCGTTCCCTCCTCTTGTGCGAGTAACTTCATAGACAATTTAGGGTTGAATTGGTTTCAAATTATCATTGGAGCGGAATATGTAACGTATGGTGAAAAACAATGCAGTACGAAAGTAAGATTTTTTGTTATTAATTTTAAATACCCACTACCCCGTATCATACCGTGGGTGTCGTAATAGGCGACACAGGGAGACTGAAACAGAAGCAGCCTCTTTCTGATAACAACACAAAGTAATAAAAAACAGTGGTTGCCAACCCGCCAAAAGTGTCAACTATAGCATAACCCCCGGGATAAGGCAATATTTTTTTTTATTTTATTTATTTGCCTCAAATCTTTTAACAATTTAAATGGAACACTGGCTTCTAAACTAGTTGTACTAACTGTATCTTAGAAACCAGTGTCTTCCCCTAGTAGTGGTACAAGTACAATAGATTCTGGTGACTTAAGAACAATTAGGATTCAGCTAATAATTAAATAACATGCTGTAATTGAAAAACAAGGAATGAGAAAAAAATGTCGCGTGGATAGTAGACGTGCGCGTTCGTGGTGCGCGTGCGTGCGTTCGTGGTGTGTGTGTGTGTGTGTGTGTGTGCGTGTGTGTGTGTGTGTGTGTGTTTGTGTGTGTGCGTGTGAGTGTGTTGCGTCTATAGTTAATTTAACATATACATATATATCTACAGATATACATGACCACACACACACACATACAATATATATATATATATATATATATATATATATGTTTAGGCCAAATCGTAACAACTTAAAACTTGCGACGAGTTGCTTGTGTGGAACGCTAAAACTTTGCGACCCGGGAGAAGATCGCGTTCCTCTTCGATTATAGTTATGTGCTAAGAGACGTTAGACTTGAGTTCAGATAGCGGTGAAAACCCACTGGAGTGATTGAACCTTGTGGAGCAGGGTAACGCATGTGGGTCTGCTGGCCGATTACATCGGTGACGTCAGGTTACATTACACATCTTCTTACACGACTCACACCTACCATTTACTTGCCCCTGACGGTACCTTGTGGTCGACCTACTACCTCCGGAACTTTGTGTTTGCTTATCTAGCCATTACATAATAATTATCCATAGGCCATTTGGGCCCGAAACCTCTGGTTGCCCGTCGAGTTGAGTTACTGATGGACCCTAGCCCAATCGACTTCAGTCGGAGCAACTGAGGGCCGTAACATTTTCTGGTAGCAGAGCGTGCTTGATTGTTTCTGCAATCACGCCCGGCCGTAATATAATTATTTTGTTTGTTAGCGGATCGGTGGTTAGAACCACGCCCGTTAGGCTGCGCAAGCAGGAGTGTAGTTTAGGGTTAAGTACCTACGCGTCTGGTATTTCGAGTAAGTAGATTAAATTACCGAAGGGTTGGTCTCCTGAGTGAGGCATCTTTGCTGACCGACTGTAGTGTGTACTTACCGTGTAGTATAATTGTATTTAATTTAATTTAATTTAATAGTAATTTGTATTTAGTAGTGATGCTATCGCACAAGCCACCGGCGCTTCGCCTGCAGGCGGAGCTGCGCTGGGCCGCGAATGCCCATACCTTGATAGGGCGACCCGATCGGGTCCATAGTTTAGAGAAGCGGCTCGAGCAGGTCATGGCCCGAAGTGCCGTAGTAGAGGAGGCTTGCACTGAGCTTTTGGCTTCGGATGTGGAACAAGGAGTCTTAGACTCGTGCCTCGCGGACTACGGACAATTCTTTTCGCTCACGGACGACTTGATCGAGGCGGGGGCCAAGTATGCTAATGAAGCGCGTGAAGCTCGGCTGAGTGGCCTGCCCAAGTCCCCTCGGAAGCAGCCTAATCAGCCGGAGCTGTTGGGACGACTCCCAACTCTGGACCTGCCAAGGTTCTCCGGGGTCCTCTCCAACTGGCTGACCTTTGTTGGCCTTTTTGATAGCCTAGTGGACGCCCGGAGGGCCTTGACACCAAGCCAAAAGATGGCGTACCTCCTCGCCTCACTGGAGGGGGAGGCCCCGGGCATCGTCGGCCATTTGAAATTGTCGGAGGACGCCTACCAGGCCGCCCGGGACCTCCTCGCAGGAAGGTACGCTAACGTCGGCCGCAACGCCGGCGAATTGCGGACGAATACGTTAGGCAGCACCTAAACCTCCCGCTGCTTAGGGACCGGGCCATACTACGTCCAGACATCGTAAATCCAGTCGTGGTGGCCAGTAATTCGTTGAGGCGGCTGGATTTACTGGTGGACGAATGGTCCTTCTTATTGCTCCACATCGTACTGTCCCGCCTGCCTCTCTATCTTCGGATCCATTTTGATGAGAGCTACGGCGGGGACGGCGCCTCCTATATTCCGCACTTCAGGGGCCTGCTGCGGTTCTTGGAGGAGCAGTGCCGGCAAATTGAGAACGCAGCGGGCACCGTCGACGACCTGCAGGTTGCCAACCAAGCCGTGCCCAGGGAGAGGCGGAATCCACCTGGCAAGTCGTCGCCAACCCCCCTAAGACCGAACGGAGCTCCCACGGGAGGGCGCCGTTCCCTACCATCTTATAGCGGCCGAGCGGCCAGGGAGGCGCCCTCCTGCTCCTATTGTCGAGCATCCGATTACCGGGTGACGTTGTGCCCGAAGTTACTGGGTAAGCCGGTCCCGGCGAGGCGAACCATCGCCAAGGAGCGCCGCTGGTACTACTCGTGCTTGGAAAGGCACCTCCAAAGAGACTGCCCGCACCAGCGGCATTGTCCGCACTGCCAGGGCAACTGGGTTTGAAGGGGATCCCTCCCTCGACCAGGGGGGGAGCGCGCCCCAGGGGCGGCGGGGTCGTCGCCCCCCTCTCAGCGTGTTGAGAGGAACTTCACGGCAACTCAGCGGTCAGCTAGACCCTTCTCACCCCCGTTAGCGGAGTGGCCACGACTGGAGTACCACCCTCCCCCCTTTGGTAGGTACCGGTACTACGGGGTTCCTGCGACCTCGAATCTATCCCGGGCCTCAAGGCCGAGGTTCCCTGAAGCTCCCCAGGTCGGCCCGTTCCATGATTTCCAACCCCGGGTCAATGAGATGCCGCCGAAATGCCGCTTTCGGGACCCCCGGTACGAGTGCCGGTTCGATAGAGGCAGCTCCAGATAGGTAGCTGCCGCCCTAGTTCCCACCACGGCCGCCTCCACTGATCCTTTGAGCCGTCAACAGTCTACTTGTCAAACTGATCTATTGCCGACGGCCTCAGTGAAGGTGTACAACCCGAGTGGCGACGGTTCGCGCTCTATTGGATTCGGGTTCACAACGCTGTGTGGCCTCCACTTGGTTGGTGGAAAGACTAGGGCTCCCCGGGAGCTCTGAATCACTTCCAATCGGAGGTGCCGAGCCTCCTGCTCCTAGGGGACAAGCGGAGTTGGTGTTTGGCCCTGCCAGCGAACACCTTCACATTCTAGTTAAAGTAAATGTTGTAGGTTTTCTCCCTAACATCCGTATAAATGATAGCGCGGTTCGTTGTGCGTCGGGTTTGAGACCGGCAGACCCTCAATGGTCCCAACCTGGGCCTATAGATTTTTTGCTGGGGGCCGACGCGCTGGGGTTCATCTTGTTAGGCGTGATGCGAGCCCTACAGCCCGATGGCTTGTCAGCCATGTCCACTGTATTTGGGCACAGTTTCTTTGGACCGGTTCTGTGGTCTCCAACTCCTCAGATGGCTGACCCGCTCTCTGTGTTGGGCTTATCCCTTTCGGACGTCGTCCAGCGGTTCTGGGAAATTGAGAAGCCACCACACGCGTCTCGAGTCAACTCTCTGGACCGTGAGTGCGAGATGTTCTACCAGAACAATACCTGCCGTCGTGTCGACGGTCGTTTTGTCACTCGCTTACCCTTTCTTGACTCACGGCTCCCTTTGAGCCAATCTCGTACCCTGGCCGAAAAGAGGTTGCTTTCCATGGAGCGCCGTGTGCGGCGCGACCCAGCCTTTCGCGACAAATATGTCGAGTTCATGCGCGAGTATCAAGAGCTGGGTCACATGTCACCGCCCAACTTCAACTGGCGGTCATAGGAGCACTACTTCCTCCCTCACCATGTGGTCTTGAGGACCCCTGGGTAAGATTTGGGTAGTTTTTGACGGCTTCGCCCCCTCGTCTAATGGTGTGTCCCTGAACCAGTGTCTCCACTCTGGTCCTAAATTGATCAAGGACATATCTGACATTTTGACCCACTTCCGTCGGCACCAAGTGGTTTTTGTAGCCGACATTCGGATGATGTTTCGACAATGAGTGGTCCATCGTGATGACCGTCGATATCAGCTGATATTGTGGCGCGAGAAGCCCAGCGATCCGATACAGGTGTTTGAGTTGAACACCACCACCTATGGACTCCGGTCCAGCCCGTATATCGCCATGCGAACCCTCCTCGAACTCGCTGAGAGAGAGCGTCTAAGATACGCTCGGGGGGCTTCTATTTTGGAGACTTCGGTCTACATGGACGACATTTGTACGGGCGCCTCCACCGTCGAGGAGGCTCTTGTATTGCGAGACGAATTTATTTCCATCCTGAAGTCCGGAGGTTATGAGTTACGCAAATGGTTGTCGAACTCCCCTCATATTTTGAAGGACCTCCCAGGAGAGGATCAACAAGACCCTCATCTATTCGAGCACCCTGAAAATCCTAATTTGTTGACTGTGCTGGGCATTCAATATCAGCCTGTTCAGGATACTTTCACGTATCGAGTCAAACTCTATCCCCCTCCTAAATCATGGAACAAGCGCTCCGTGCTGTCTACAGTAGCCCACACCTTCGATCCTAATGGATGGATCACTCCGGTAATTTTTTTGGCTAAGTGCTTTTTTCAAAAGCTCTGGATATCCGGGTTTGGTTGGGACGACCCTTTAAGAGGATCTCGATTGTGCGAGTGGCACTCCATTGTGTCCTCCCTTCCGGAGATCAACCGTCTCCATGCCAAGGTGCTTCCTTGGAAGGTGCTTCCTTGCTCCAGGGAAATGCAAGGCTACCCTACATGGATTTTGCGACGCCTCTGAGAAAGGATATGCTGCTGTCGTATATTTGCGGACTGTGAGCTCTTCTGGGCATACTTCCGTCAATCTCGTACTTGCTAATAGCAAGGTTGCTCCCATTAGGTCCCGCTTATCTATCCCTAAATTGGAACTGTCCGGAGCCGCTCTTCTCACGCGACTCCTCAACCACGTTCACTCGTCTTTGAAGTCTGTAGTCGACATTACGGACGTCTACGCTTCGTCGGACAGTGAGATAGTACTTTGTTGGCTCAGAGCTGCACCTCACAATCTTGAGGTCTTTGTGGCGAACCGCGTGTCTCAAATCCAGAATTCTGGATTTGAGACATGTCTCCCATGTCCCAGGGGAGTTGAATCCCGTAGACTGCGCTTCTCGCGGCTGTGAAGCCCCCTCTTTGGTTGACCACCTGCTGTGGTGGGGTCCCAGTTGATTGCCTGAGTCTCAGTCATTTTAGCCCCAGAATAAATACTCCGAACCGATTGAATTGCCTGGCCTACGAGCCCGAGTAGGAGTGAGCAAGGATAAGCCCTCTCGGGATTTCTCCCTGCTAGAACGGTACAGCTCTCTCGATAGACTTTTAAGAGTGACTGCTTGGTTGCGTCGATTTGTCCGCAATTCGAGAGACCCATCCAACCGAATCTCTGATTCCGTTTTGTCCCCTAGCGAGCGTCGCGAAGCCTTGATGCATTGGACCCGTATGGTCCAAGCGGAGCATTTTGAGCCCGTGATTGAAACCTTGAAGTGGGGCTCCGTTGTCAAGAGCGCTCTGGGCCGCCTGAACCTCTTCCTGGACGACGCTGGGATGCTGCGCGTTGGCGGACGTTTGATAAATTCTCAACTGCCGTACGGGGCTCGACACCCGTTACTGCTCACTAAGGACGGTGTCTTTGTTCGGTTGCTGGTAACTCACCATCATGTTCAGAATGCCCACGCTAGGTGCAATGCTCTTTCGGCTATTTTGCAGCGGGAGTTTTGGATTTTGGCTGGCCGCCGCACCATTCGGAGCGTTCTCTTTAAGTGAATACCTTGTTATTAACTGAATGCCACCATATCGCAGCCGATGATAGGTGACTTACCACCCGACCGTGTCAGGGCTATCCGATCATTCGCTGGACTCGGAACCGACTTTGCTGGCCCCTTCCTCGTCAAGCCCTCCAACCTTCGTAACGCGCGTTCACATAAGGTAAGGTTCACATAATAAATATATATATATATATATATATATATATATATATATATATATATATATATATATATAGGGGAGGCCTATGTTTAGCTGTGGGCTTTTATAGACTTTTATGAAAAGATGGGTCGATATTGGGTAGGGGATATTCCTACACTGCTACTACACGTTTTCATATAAATATAATGCCAGGATAATGATATGAATCAAAATAACAGAGGATATGAAAGAGACATCGCAAGAAAGAAACACTTTAAGATCATAAGTTGGTGTAAAAAATGCCTTTATAGAGGGGACTATAGATTCTTATTCTATGATTGTCAAATAAAATTGTCAATAAAATACGCGTGCCAAATCTGACGAATAAAACGAGTTGTTTCGACTTGATCGAGGTTTTTGAATGACTCTATTATTGGACTCTCAGATTATGAAATGATATAATGTCAGTTATTAGATAATACGAAAACTTTTTAGTTCTTATTTTTTATAGAATGGTAAGTGGATGTTGTCTGATATCTATGCCTTTTTTTACGCGATAGTGCCACTCTGTAGCTATATTATGATTTTAGCACAAATAGATCGGCTCGACCGGGGAAAAACCACGCTCTCACAGAATACCAGCGTAAAATAGCAGCTTAATGCTGCTGTGTTTTATATGGTGAGTGTTGAAAACCGAAGACCCGTTTAACTGGAAACAAGGCAATCCATCTCTGTACTCAGGGGTGACAACGCATCTGCATTTTGATTCTTAATCGAAGTTAAATACAGATTACTATGGGCCACAGTATTCACTTACCATCAGGTGGACTGTGTGCTCGTTAAACACCTATACTCTATAAAAAAACGATTAAGAATCAGAATGCAGATGTGTTGTCACCCCTAAGTACTAAGATGGAATGCCGCGTTTCCAGCAATAAGCGTCTGTGAGAGATTTGTCCATCCACTGTTGAGGCGACCCATTCGTGCTACAATCATAATATAGTTGCAGCATGGCTCTACCAAGTAATCTTTATCTCTATAAATTAGTTTCATTTAACGTTAACGTAAGTAAGGAAGAACAATGCCGGCGAGTAGAAGGCCGAATTGTGTAGTTACCACACACCTATTTAATACAATGATTTGACAATATGTAAACAACTTGCCTCAAAATAACTTCCTTTGTAATGTAATTTTATCTTACTAAAAACCTTACAACTTAGTAATTTCTAAGCATTAAGATTTCGTAAGAAAAAATACTTTAGCAGTTTCTGCATGACCCACAACAAAAATCAGCGGCAGTGACTTGTCAAATCTGAACCCTCATTCGTGACGATTCGATTAAGGCGTTTAACGAAACCAATTCAGTTGTCTTTTTTGCACTAAAGGAAAATTTAACGAGCTAGACAAGGATGTCTAAATAAGTAAACAAACAGTATTGAATGTTCAATCTTTGATATACTGAATAAAAGTAACGCTTACGTTTCGAGATTGGAACCCTTCCATGCAATATGATTTGCGTCAGTAGGATGTGTTCAGAACAGATCACCGGTCGGTAACCGAGCGGAAAAATCGCTTCTCATCGGGTCTGTTACGAGTATACTTTAGAAGCGAGTGACGTTGGTAAATCTTCGTCCCAAATAAAATAGTATTACCCGATTCTCGGTTAATAGTTCCGTCTTAAATATAGATGTAAAAAAAATATTTTTAACCACATAGTGGCGGTGTAAGAAACAGAAAAATAAACTTTCTTCTACAATATAGATTATAAATAACACTTATTGAAAGTCACTTTTTTTAATTTACCACTGGTTCGGATAAAAATCCTCTGTCTTGGGAAAACCAGCAAGAAAACCAGTTGGACTTTTAAAAAAAGCAGCTTACAACCATGTATGTTACACAATTATCAGCACAAATTAGAAAAAGCTTGGTAGAGATCTCCTTTTTTAATAACTATTTTTATACAAACTTACTTTAATGAATTTTTTTAACATTGTGAAGGTCATAAGTTTTTTTTTTATTATTAAGCTATTGAATAAACATTTTGATTTAATCTATTGATATGTTATATTTAACTATCAATTGGATTAGGAAATAAGATAAACCTATGACTATGAAAGATACTAGAAAGAATGAATAATGTAACCATTCGTGTCTTTTCTCTGTACATTATTTTTATCTATAACAGAAGTGTCTAGGGTAAGGTTGGTAATGTTATCATTTCATTAATTACAACAACCGTCCCCACCGCTTTTTAAAAGTAAATTAATCCGATTAAGGGGGGAATCGAAGAACTCACTCCGTCCGACTTTATTCGGTCAAGTTTCTTAGAAATAATTATTTTTTGTAATTAAATCCATCAACACGATTTTTTCCTAATGATTCTCCCATGGGACGCCGGGGTGGGTGTTAGCGGCGAGGGAAATTTTATTTTTATTTCTATTTTGTATTATATTTTCGTGATAATGATGAATGTTGTTGTATACTCAATATAAACAGAGAGGTTTGTATAAGATTTTATTAATTTAATGGAAATAACGACTTGTTACTTTTTGCAAAAATATGAAGTGAAACCTGGTTAAGTGGGACCTGGATAAGTGAGAAACCTCTATTATTCAGAACTACATTGAGGTCCCGGCACTTTTTCATCGAATTACCTCTGTTAATGGGACTTCGGACCTGCTTAAATGAGATTTGATTTCTAGGATTTTTTCTATGTTTACCTCTATAACTGGGACTCTGGAGGTTAATTCCCTATATAAGTGAGACAATTTATCGGGTTGGGACAGGTTTCGACACGATTGTTTACAAACATTTGAATTTCTTAATTTTTGCGCCAATGTAAATGAGACAACTAAATTTTAAAC